AGGAACGTTAGCCCAAATGAGCTGTTAGTCTTGAAACGGCATTTTGCGTCAAATCACTAAAAGCGTTGAATCACTTTTCAAATTGTTGCCACCATTAAATATAATAAAGGACAGTAATGTGTATTACTATATATAAAGAATATATTATATATAAAAATTTTAAATAATATAGTATCTGTTTGAATATATGTATGTTTCTCGTATTGTGAAAAAACAAAGACACCTAGAGCCATCAAATTTTGAATAACGTAGTCCTCGACCCGAATACGGGCACCTGGAAGTCCAAATTTGGAATTTGGAATTTATTTTGTTGTCTATTTTATATTTGAGAAACTTTACCGAATTTCGCATCAACAAATTCAACAATTTCAAAGCGAACAATGGAAACACTGTACAAAAAAAAAAAAAAAAAAATCTTCAGCGCGCGAGACTGCCTACCGAAAATTCTAAAGATATATCTGGCTTTATTTACATTCTAACTTCGTTACTTAGAGCACTGAAGTAGGATAATAAGTTTATTTTATACACATCTCTTCTGAATAAAAAAAACAGTACTTCACTATTTTTATTTTTTTTCTTTATACGCACACATAATATGTAATAAAAATAATAATAATAAAAAAAAACCATAGGAGAGTTCTAATTTTAACTAGAAAATATCTTGTGTTTCATTTTAATTCAAGTATTTCTTCTTTCTGTCCTAAAAATAGAAACTATTTAAAATATATCATTCTAAAAAGCGTCATTTCCGTTTATAAGTTATGAATAAGTAATATTAAATTTTAGAAAAACCGTAATTAATTCTTGACCTATTCTGAAAAAAAAAAAAAAAAAAAAAAAGCTTTACAGTATTTCATTAAATTTTGGCGTTTTGTTTTAATTGATTATCATCTATATCTATGTATCGCAGAATCAATATGAAATTCTACATTACTTTTAATATCATTTATTCAAGTTGTTAAAATTCTAAAAATCGAATTGTTTTTGAATCGGTTTCAGATTAGTGTTTTTGTTTGTGTTTTTGAGGAGCAGCTAAATTCAGCATTTTGCATATGAGTTGAGAAAGTAAAGAAATGAGATTAGTTGCATTATTTTAGAATGCCGAATTAAGGTTGGCAATTACAGCCGTTAACTAACAATTCAGTAAAAAGCTTAATAAAATAAGCATTAGTAATAATTCAATAATTAAAGATCATCATAATAAGCTGATGTTTTCCAGTTTTGCATCATAGAGATATAGGTGGTTTCCACATAAGGCTGGTTTTGATTACTTTATATGATTATAGCAAAGCACTCGAGGGCTGTCTCCCTAAGGGGAAGATTGAATTCGGGGGAATTTTCTAACAAGAACTGACTCGTATATATGTTACGGTGAAACACCGAAATCTGGAGAATGTCGACTTTCACCGGTGAATGTAACATTCCCATAGTCGCTTGGTGCATGTCCGAAATATTTTCCAAATACTCTTATTTCTGACTTATACCGGTAAATGTCGACATTCACCATGTGCTAATGGTGAATGTTGAACATAGAATAATATTATATTTTCTTCTCCGTAATTCAGTCTCGAAAAAACGCACTTGAGACTTAAAACGAGAACTTAAGAACATAAGAACTTAAAACACACAGTACATTCAAAATGAGAAAGGAAAATAATAGAAGTTAAAAACTTAGTAAATTATGTGATTCAAATCTTATTTACTGCAACAATTTAAACTATTAGGACACTTTGAATTGCACAAGAGGTCCTTGCTTTTACAACTGCATTTATTTGTGGAATACTTCCTTTTGCAATGACAGCACGTACATATACTCCTCTCTTTTCGACTTACACCAGAGCATATCTGTGATTGTCGACATACACCGGTGAGGGTCCGAATCTACAAGAATGTAATGCAATATTCGATCTTTCACCAACGCATTTGGTGAATGTTGACATTCTCCGGTGAAAGTCGACATTCTCCAATTTCGGTCTCTCACGGTAACATATACGTTACTAATGGGGAAAACCACGAAATCGTTCATGCAGCCGCCCCGTTCGCCGTTTTTCAAACCCCGGACCAAACTGCTCACATTTAGGGACTTTAGCACTCGGTCGCTGGTGTTCCCATAAGGCGAGTTATCTCACTCCATTTATTTGAATTTTCCAATCATCTAATCATTCCATTTTCAAAGAGATTAAAAAAATCTAAATTATGATAAAATGTATTATTAAATATAAATGCTAATGATCCTGGATATTGAATTCTACCAGAAATTTTGCTTGTCTAAAGTTAGTTCTTTAGAATTTCAAATAATTGGCGTTTTACTGTACATTAAAATACAAACCAGCTTTCATGAATTCATTTGCTTAACGATAGTTATGTTTTATTTTAGTTATCTTAGTGTTATTATCGTAAAGAAAATGAAATTGACCTTGGGCTTAGTTTTCTCTATGCATCGCATTGCAGCTGCAGCATCTTGTAATTTTTATTGAAGAAACATAATGAAGTAAATTCTTTAGCTGGTTTATACTAACAGAATGCATGTGAATTCTCTAACATTAGTAATAGCACATTGTTATTGCAAATGTCTCACACATTTAACATACGCAAGCTCGGAACTAAAAGGAAAATAAAAGGAAACAAAAAATAAAGTCGTATCACCTGGCAAAAATACCACGCAGCTGCATATTAGGGAAGAAAAAATAAAAATTAGCTGGCTTTAAATCCGAGTTGCATTTCAATTTCATTCCTCTTTTTTATTATTTCTTAAGATAATACGCGTGTTGGACACAGAGTCCAGAGGGCAAGTACGGCATATGGGAGGGACAAAAATTGACCAAAGGCGGTAATTATTGCATTAATGATAAACAAGCCAGGTAATTTAGTAATTTGGTAATCTTTTCTTCATCTGGTGTGACCAGAATATAAAAGGAATACATATTTCAGCGCCTTGTACAGAATTTTCATTGTCAGATTATGTAACCTTACGGTGTTTAATAACCTGTACGCGACCCCTTAGATAGAATAAAAACAGCCGTAATTGACTTTCGGCGGTAAAGTTCGTATGTTACGATGGGGATTGATGAAGACCCCCCTTCCGAAAAGGGCATGCCCCCAGCTCATCCTGTAAAAGCTGGCTGGATGAGTTTTCGCTATTAATGGTTAAATGCAGTGGGCTGTACGTTGGTCAAATAGCATAATGTTTACAGACGATGGTGACTCAATGATATTTGCAACATACAATAGGAAGATTAAAGAATTACAGCGACATCCTGTATAATAAGCTCATGAACACTCAGTGATAGCAAACTAGAATTTTTGGTACTTCTGTTTTAGTTCATTCAAGGAACAATTTTTTTGTTAGAAATTGAATATTTTTAGTGTAACTTTCGTCGAAATACCTTAAGGAAATTTACGCCACTGAGTTGATCAACTTGGCGAATGGTAGAATCAGAAAATAACAACACTATATGTTGAAATTTTTTGGAAGAGTAGGGCAAGTAAGCATCTGGGTAGGGCAGTAAGATTTCGTTTTACTCTTGAAAAATTTGTGAAGTTTTTAGAAATTGTGAGGAAATTAGCTTTTATTTTATGTAATCAAACATCTGATGAGCATTTCGTTCTCAAATCTTTTAAATAAAAATAATTACAATAATAATCTATCTGTTATTATTGCCCACCACGAAATGTATAATAATAATCATTGCAAATGGGAAAGAAAGGCTAAATATTCTTAATAAGGATATACTATACATAAAAATTAACTTATTCAGGCAATATAAACATATTGTTTCATATCCTGTTTTTCAATATTATATTTATTGATAAAAAAGTCAACTAAAGAAAATATATAATCTTACTATGTTTCAGCATTAAAACGTATATTTACTGAAAAAATATAAGAATTTGCTTGTGTTATACTTTTGAAGATAAGATTATAATAAGGATAATTATGCTTAATTGAATTATGAAGGTGTAATTTCACATCCAAAAATATGCATTTAAGTATATTGTAACTTATATGCATCTGTATTTTTCATTCAGTAATTTTTCTTATATTTTTAATGTTCTCCAAGTTGCAGATTATTAAATCCTCTAAGACAGGTATCGAAGTATCAGAATTATTCCTTTTATAAATTTAAATTAAGCAGAAAATATTCATTAAGAAAAATAGTGTTTCTTAGCCATGAATATCTATATAATTTCTTAGCCATGAATTTCTTAGCCATCATACTTATCGGCAAAAGTCAGAAAAAATGTGATCCTGAAATTAAAGAAATTTCAAAATCTTTATTCGAGAAAATTGTTTTATTTCGAAATTTCTGACAAAGTTTTAAAACACATTAGTTTATAACTTCTTTCTAATGTTATTGGGTTAATACATTTTTGAGGATCTATGACTTATATAATACAGGGATATAATTTTATGGTGATCATGACCCTGCTTTCTGTTTCTCTTTAAAAGAAAAGAAATAAGTAAAAAGAAAAGATTCTTAGGTGTAGTCGGAATTGTAAATTTATTTTACAGCATTTAATTTAATTTCCTCATATAAGTGATAGATATATTTTCTGCGTAGGAAATTAGACGAAATTACTATTTACGTTTTAATTATTCAGTTTTTAAAGCACTACATTATCAGTATAATCCTGGGCTTCATATGGGAGGGAAGGCACCATCAGACAGTCTACGTCAGTCGTTGCAACCATTTCGCCTCGGTGACCATGAGGCGGCAGTGCACATCCCACCGACGCAGCCTCGGATGAAAAGCTGCGGCACTGAGGACTTGTCTTCCATGGATATGACAAATACTCTTTTAATGCAGAAAACTGGGGGTTGGAGTTAACGCATGTGGGAATAGTTGGGAGTGTAAAAATTAACCTTCTTTTTTTAATTGATACTGAAAACAATGTGTACCAATTCACTTGTAAATGTACAATTTAAAATGTTATTTCATATTGTGAGCAATTTTTTTTAATTATTTAACTCTAATTAATTTACATTCTGCCCTTTTTAGGAACATCCCCGCTTAGGAGGCACGCCACTTGCTATGCTTGCCGCACAATGTAACAAACTCGCCAGCAAAAGCCCACCCCCGCTTGCCGACGCAGCTGTTGGGAAAGGATTTCATCCTTGGAAGAAAGGGGCTCAACCCACTTCGTCTCCAGGAGCTCATCCACTGGCAACGCAGCGAGTCACTACTCTGGCCAACAGCAGTGCTCCATCTCATTTGAACTACCAAAGACCGACGGTAACCTCAGCCTGTAGTTCAGCATCATATGGTGGTGAAAATCTCTTTTATCCAGGCGCCGCCGTCACATCACCGCAGGGAGACGGTGGGCAAGGATCTCTCATCGGCAAAGTGCACGGAGACTCATCTCACTTGGGTACCATGTACTCAAGAGTGGCAACTCATCCCTATGAGAGTTGGCCATTCAACATGAATGTCGCTGGCGGACCTCATGGACCCATCAAGACTGAAGTGTCTTCAGTGAACACTTTAAACTCTACTTCCTGGTGGGACATGCATGCTGCATCCGGAGCCGGTCCATGGTTAGATATGTCTGGGGCAGCATCCGGCTTGCATTCTCAGCTACCAGCAAATTACCCGACTTCAGATTATGGATTAGGCCCCAGCTTGGCTGCATCCAACACTGCCCACCTGTTGTCCTCTGGTCAACATTTGCTCCAAGATACCTATAAATCGATGCTTCCGTCAGCGCAAGGACCTTCGGTGGGAGGACCTTTTGCCCTCAGCCAGCCCTCGTTACCGCAGATGCCTTCGCCGCGGTCGCAGAGACGCTACAGCGGACGGGCAACATGCGATTGCCCCAACTGTCAGGAAGCCGAGCGTCTGGGCCCCGCAGGGGCACACTTGAGGAAGAAGAACATCCATAGTTGCCACATTCCGGGCTGCGGCAAAGTCTACGGTAAAACGTCCCACCTGAAGGCGCATCTCAGGTGGCACACGGGCGAGAGGCCCTTCGTGTGCAACTGGCTGTTTTGCGGCAAACGTTTCACGCGGTCCGACGAACTCCAGCGGCACTTACGAACCCACACGGGTGAAAAGCGGTTCGCTTGTCCTGTGTGCAACAAGCGGTTCATGCGCTCAGACCATCTGAGTAAACACGTCAAGACACATAATGGTAATGGAACCGAGAAAAAAGGCTCCAGCAGTAGTTGCAGCGATTCCGAGAACAGTCACTCCGAACCACCCAGCGTCAATTCTCCTGTTTCTGTTGGCACCCCTCCTCTTGGTCTTCACAATGAACCTATGGGTCCAGATGGAACTCCAAAGTGAAATGTATGAAAATAATAATTAAAAAAATATAATCGCGTATACACAATGGAAACCTTATCCCCTAGAGCTTTCCCTCCTTCTTTTTTTTAATCCTACAATTTCGTTTAATTTGCTGCAATGTATAGTGTCGAATCCTCAACTGAAGTGGCCAAAAGTACTATAATGTCACCTCGCTGTACATTGCATGGTCGTTTCCAGAGCTTTAAATTTCATTCCTATTTAAAGGATTCAACGAAAGCATGCTGAAGAAAAAAAACTGTGTCTTGTCAAAACTGACGGATTTTATCCTTCAAACTTATCTAGTTTCAAATTAAAAATGTTCAGTCAGAAGATTTCAGAAGCTTTGTTGTTTAAAATACGAAGAGAATTCAGTTTACAAGTAATGAAAATATTTCAGCACATATTTTAACTCAAGGAGTCTCACAATTCTTCTTTTAATTTTAATCTTTTTAACTAATCTCACGAAATTTACATAGAACTGTTTCTGTCTGTTCTGCATTCGTACTCAAGTAGAATTTCAGCTACTGGAGGCGGCCATGGTACATTGTATATTGTGTACGTAAATGTATGCGTGTGTGTGTGTGTACGTACGTGTGAAGCTTGCACGTGACCCTGCTGCCTGAAGTAGGACTTCTTTAATGTGTACATGCATGTCATCGTGACTTTTAAATGGACTCCTAATCGACGTTCTCTGTTTTTCGGCATCGAATATCAAGTTAATCTAAAAAAATATATATAGCAAGCAAACTGTGACTTAAGGTGCCGCCTTATGTAACTGTAACCTGTTGGTTATGCTCCTGTATAGAACTGAGAACATTTTCAGTGTGCACTTAAATGTTTCATTATTATCATGATGATGATTAACAAACTCTGAAAATTACTGGAGTTAAAAAAAAAAAAAAAAGAAAGATTCGCAAATTTTAGTAAAGAAGAAGGAAACATTATTTCTATTGACTTGTGTGAAATTTTTTTTCTATTTTTAGCTGTTGTATGAAGAATTCACCATAAATAGTTTTGAATTTTAAGAAGTATTTTGAAAAATAATTTAATCTTTAAAACTTAATTTTGCTTAAAAATTGTCTATAAAATGTTCTACTCATTCGTTAAGGAAAATAGAGAATGATGTAAACTTTGCTATAGTATCAATTTATTCAGATTTTTAAAAGTATAAATTTTTCCAAAGTGTCTGTTGTGTACAAGGAAGCATTTACAACGAAAATTATTGTTTTAATTAATAATTACTTCATATTATTTTAAATTTTATGATTTAATTAAAAAAATTTGAAGCTTGCTGAATTAAATTTATAGATTGTATTTTCGAAATGCATGTTAAAAATATAAAGTTCAGATAATAAAAGTAAAATTAAATTTTCTTAAGAGTAAAATGGCTTAAAAAATTTATTCTAATATATTTCCTTTTTTGAATGAGTGGAGAAATTACATAAGGGAATGTTAAATATTTGATCGTTATTATCATGTAGCACTGAAACTTTAACATTATGATAGTCTAAAAACTTATGTCTGCTTGTGACGGAATTTATTATATTATAATTATCTTAGAGTATTCTTGATTGCTCACAATATCAGAGTTATGATTATTACTTTCATCATAAAAATGTAATTAAGCCTCTAATTTGGTAAATTATTTGTTTTCATGAAGCAAATTTATCTGTGTTCTAAAGGAATCATATAGTAGCGCATCAATATATCTATGTTTTTAAAACGTATTTCGAGTCAAAAAATAAAATAATTAGTTAAAAAGTAAATAATTGAATAAAATGAGTGTATTTTTTTATGAGAATAATATACTGTTTATATTTTTAACCTTTTTTTTAATTCATTACACAATATCTTAGACAAAAATCATTTGGAACATCGAATGCACACCTATGAGACAGTGTCAAAGAAGTCTGAGACGTGTTCCATCTGCAGTGCGAGGGAATGTTTAAGGCACGCAAAAGGCGATGTGTGGTTAATTATGAATCTAAAGATAAATGTTTAAAAATTGTTTAAATTCTACAGTCTCATTGGTGTGCTGCGATATAAATGTATTTGCGATCGGTCGTGATGAGATACTCTTGTATTTGTTTATCGTTAGCTGTGAGTCGGAAATTTAGTATGTGGCAATCACACATCGCCAATTAGCGAGCCTAAAATACTTTCTTCGCATTCCAGAGGGGCACGTCTTAGGTTTCATGGTTTGGAATTCTAGATGAAGGTTGAATATTAAAATAATTGTTCTTTCTTTGTATTATGATAACTCTAAAAAACAATTATCTTCTTTATTTTATTTTATTTCGCGATTTTAGCTGACTGATAAAAAATTTTCCTTTAACGTGTTTTTCCATTGAAATATTTTTTAAATTTTACAATATTGTTTGACTTTAGCTCAGTAAAAATTTCTTTTATAAAATAATATTTCTTTAATCATGTTTAAAAAAATAATCCTGGACCTCGAAAATTAATTTAAATTTTATATTGAAACAGCAAAGCTAAATTTTAGCTTGATTTCTTTATTTTATTGTTATCAAATTTGATCTATATAAAAATTAAGTTGTCTATGGAAACTATTTAATTACATCTGATATAAAAAAGAAGATAAAAGTATATTGTGTAAAACGAATGAAGCGTGTATACTTGCAATTGTCATTGCAAGTGGAGTTCATGTACTGTTATAAAATGATGTGAATAAAAAAATTTTCTGTTCAAGGATTTCAGCTGATTATTTTTTCCAATACGTCTTTTCTTGTATTTCAGAAATTATAAGGAACAAACACACCTTAAACATTTTAGGCGAAACAGCATTATATTACCAAAAAAAAAAAAAAAAAAAAAAAAAAAAATGCATGTAAGAAATGAAGTTCTTAGCCTATCTACCCTCAGTCATAATCTCTATAACATTATTAATAACTTTTTTCTTAATCTGATATGTTATTACTGGTACACTGATATGTTACATTTTTAAAAATAAGTTTATAAATACAAAATCACTTATACTCTGTTGACATTATTCAGACCAACTATTAATCTATTCTTTAATTTCCATTAATTCTGATATAATCCCACAGATGCGTACAAAAGCTTCACAGATCCTAAACGTTTGCCTTCGACATTGATTACAAAATTCTATTGAAATTATTTATACTTAGCAAAGTACATTGAAGGAGCAGCTTTCATATCTAGTTATCAAAAATTTTGTCCTAGAGCTGTATAACTAATTAAAATATTTATAAAGCCGGGAAACAGGACAAATCGGTGATATCCCCGCCGAGATCCGAACTTACTGTGCATACCTTTCACAAGCATAGTTAAGCATTAATTGACTATAAATTACACAGAAGCTTATTAGTTAAAATATAATGGGTTCTCTAAATAAAAAAAATATCATGACATCTCTTGAAAAACATCTCTTGAATTATATCTAAAATTTTGAAAAGAAATAAATATATATGTGAACTACGAAAAAGCAACAGAGTTAAGATTCGTTGGAAACGTTTAATAATTAAACTTACAAATTAATACAAAATTAATTTTGGTGGTAGCAAAAGGCACAATTGGTACCATAAAACATTTCAGAAAACGACTTTTCAAAGAGGACTTGGAGAGAAGTTTACGTTTTCCTGTGCTTTCATTCATGAAAAATAACCAAGAAAAGACGAAGACTGAAATAACAACAGCGTTCGAACCGCGTTTTTAAGTTCTAAATTTGACTGCTTTCATTCAATGAATAATAAATCCACTTAACGAAGATTTTAACTTGAGACGGTAATCAAATTTAATTAATTAATTAATTATAATTTTTACTGCATTTATTTAACAACTCTGCTCAACAAAGATTTAATTTTGAACCAACAAAACAAAATTTCTTCAACCCGCTCATGCAGCCAGCCCGTACTAGCGTTCAGCGACTTTATCGCTCGGCCGCTGGTGGGGTCGTCTAAGATTGGAAACATGGTGGGCTAGCACAAAGCGGCAGATCCGGATATTATTCTTCAGCCATAAAAATGACCATAAACTGTTTTACTTTTAAATAATAGCAAGCTTTACAATTAGAATTTAAAGAACGAAGTTTACTAGTCCATAACTCCGAAGTGTAATATTATAGTACGCAGTTTTATGAAATCATCATTGCTCTGATTTATCTATATTAAGCAATACTTCACTATAAGCCAATAATCCAGCCTGAAAAAAATACTTAATTTTCATCTTGATTTTTGATTTTTAAATCCCTTTCGAGCGTGATTTTTATCTGAATTGAAGATACCAATTTTGCAATAATGTAAACCATTGAATGCGGTTATCGATTTACTACTATTAAGATGATTTCATACTCTAGTATTCGTAGATTTTCAATAAATTTTTAACTGTTGCTCTCAGATTAAATTTGTAAAACACTTTCAAAGCTTTTTGTCGGCATGTTTTGGCATTAATTTTGGTCTTCTGAATCAATTAATGTTTTTTTTATTTGAACAAAATTTTGATTTCTTTATAGATAAAATAGTCTTATAATTTAAAGATAATTCTTTTCTATGGTTTCTTTTTCCTTATACAGAGGGATTATATCTTTTAAATCTTCAGTTAATTCAATATCCTTTTGATCTGTAGAAACACTGAATATTTGTTCCTTAAAAAAACACTTTTTTAAGCGATAAAATTCCCATGTTTTTTATTGTACTTAGAAAATCATATGCACAAATCGTAGATAACATTTCTTCTACTTTCCTATACAGTCAAGGTTATTTTCAGTGACCTTTTCTGACTGTATAGGTAGGCACAGTCGATGGCGGAAAGCGGCGCTTTTAAATGTTTGATTTTAAAATGAATTGTTAATGAGCTAATAATTTGGTCTTAGTAACAGAATTGTCTGACGTTTTGCCATAGAATTATTTTCTTACTTAGAACTTAATTTCTTTCAGTTAATAAGCAGGTAATTTGTTGGAAGAAAAAGTTTGAAATAATTATATTAATGTGATAATAAATAATTAGCATTTAAAATACATTTTCGCTTTAATTATAAATGTTGGCTAATGTATAAGGACAAGGTATTGTAATAAAATATTGATTTGTGTTCGGAAATATTTAGAAAAACTTCAAGTGTCATGTCAATCATTATCACGAATCTCTCAAGCAAATTTCATTACATTTTGTAGGATCTCCGACATACCTAGATTTTTAATGCCCGTTGTAAGTTTAAGATAATCTAAAAATTTCGAAAATATCAAATTCAAAGATTTGCATTTCAAATTATAAGTGTATTTCTTACAATCTGACCGATTTTGAAACAATGAACAGATTTCTTAAATCTTCGATTTATTTTTAAAAAGAATGTCATATTAATATAGTTTAAATTATATTTAATTTGTTTTAAATCTATTATTCATTTTCATGAACATCTGAAATATTACCATAAGGAGGTTTTTAATGTCATACTGTAGAGACACTAGGTTAATTGGAAAAAGCTGGGGAGATGAAAAATTAGCAACCGCCTTCGTTGGGAATCGAACCGGGGTGAAGAGAATCATCATCCAACACCCTTTTAGTTCGGGCGCCACTGTAGAGACATCAGGAATTTTGGAAAAGCCAGAGAGATGAAAAATTAGCAAACGCTTTCGCCGAGAATCGAACTACGGACCATTGGAATACCGGCCAAGTGTGCTGACCACTGCACCACGAAGGCACGCTAGGAAAGCGGGAGAAATACCTTACAATACATCATGTAACTCGAATAGCATCGTTTGTTTTTATTTATTAATATAAATATGATTTTCGGAATATTTAGGGCAAAAATAATTAACAAAATGGTTTGAATTATAGAAAAACACACGAGAGCTATTTTTCAGTTGGACTTTTTAAGGGAAACGGGTTCGTATTCCCGTTACTGACAGGAAAAACTCAATGGAGGGAAAAAATTTCAACGTAGCCAACTCATTCGCCCAGATCTGAGCCCGAGTTGAACTGCAAGCTTCCAGAGATTTTGTCGTTCAGTGGCTGATGAACAAGCAATTAATGCAAATAATAAAATCCTATGACACCACAGGAAATCTGATGAGGCTAGCACATGACCTCCCTACAATTCTTTGTTTTGAATAGAAATGAGCTTTAAGTAAAGTATCACTTTCGTCGATCATTTGTAATCAAAACCTAATTTGACGTTCCAATAAACAGAAAGGTCTATAATGCGAAATTCTGGATTATATTTTACTAAGTATAATTGGATATATGTAAAAACTGGTTTTTCTAAATTTACCAATATAAGGAAATATTTGCTCTTTTACGCTTTTTTATTAAAAATTGCATTTTATTGGGAAGTTGAATAACATATAAGATAACTGGTTTTAATTAAATAAAATATTCGTAATATATTTAAAATAAATACTTTAAACTGAATGTCATACCGCAATTTTCTCCTATTTTACTTCTATAATATGATCAACTATAGTGTCAACACATCTAAATTCATCAGATCTGAATATACATCTCCGCTATATTTAGGTATCAGTAAAGGGTGCTCGTTAATTTTTGAAACTGCAGCTGAGAATTTATTATTACTATGCGTTTAAGGATTAGTATTAAGTAAAAAAGAATAAGTATTTTTAAGTCTGACATTTATTCTTGTGCCTCCTCATCATCAACAGTACAAGAGAATAACGAGCGCATTTTTTGGGTGGATATATAAATAAATATCACGTCTAGAAATGATAGAAAAACACTTAACACGTTGCATTATTTAAGATTAAATTCTTATTATTGTGATCCTATATTATTCGGTGAAAATAGAAGATATATATTATAGGTGCGCAAGCTAATAGCTGGACTAGGCCTTCATTCTCTCAATAAAGATTGGCCTAAAATACCACGAACTTGAATTTTGTTAAGGTGGATGGTCCAAGGAATAGGAAATTAAACAGTGGAGGCCTTTGTCCCGAAACAATGACTTTGAGAAACAGTTCCAGGGGAATATTTCAGCTGTGCAACTGTGAAACAGATAGGATGACAGAAGTTTAAAACACCACACTAGTGACAAGCAAAGTCAAGAAGTAAAATCGAACTGTCTTACAACACAAGTGTGCTCTTCAAAAATGCTAAATATGCAACTCTGTACAGAATTCGAAATTCTCAAACACTAAGAACACAATACAGGTAATCGCACTAATGTAATATAAAATAAAGCAAAAAACTGAGCCTTAATCAAACATGGTCTAATGATTGCAAATTATGAATCAAACATGAATAAAAAGTATTCATAAGTATGTGCAATAAACTACCGGCTAGAAAACAGTTACGGTCGCCTAATAGATGTGCAACGAATGGTCTAATAAACCTATCATCTTTCAGTACTGCATTATTAATGACTGAGAAGCAAATCAACAGTAGAGCTGTGAGATGTTCGCTTATCAGAGGAGGGACTTTTAAGTGTCTATGCAGCATAGAATTTCTGATGAAAATACAAGCATTAGTGATAGTGTTAAGCACATTATTTGCCATTTATTAATATTTGTCGGGGTAGTCGCTGCCTAGGCTGGCATAGCATAAAATAGGTCTGACATTCGTTATGTATAAACTCCTTTTGTTCCTAAAGTCCAGATTTGGTTTGTAACCAAGTAAGGGTAGAAGTTGATGTTGTCTGTACTGATCCTATTACGTGTGTTGATTCCATTTAAGATTGTTATTAAGAATTACCCTCAGATGTTTAGCTTTGGATGTTATTCATA